CTTCCCCCTTCCCCTTTCCCCTCCCTCTCCCTTCTCCCTTTCCCCCCCCCTTTCTCCTCCTCCCTTCCCCCCCCTTCCTCCCTTTTTCTCTCCCCCATTTTCTTCCCCCTCCCCCTTCCCCTCCTTCCCTCTTCCCTCCCTAATAGATATTTAATCATCGATGTCCTTTAAAACAGCCACAACGCTTATAGAAACTGCGTCTTTTTTCTCTCTCTCTCTTCTCTCTGTCTCTCTCTCACACAACACATGCACGCACACACAAACAAACATATATTATACGCTTGTTTTTACGGGACAGGATGCCACTGCGGGATCTGTCTGCCTTGTTGGGGGTTACGAGAAGAACTGTGATCCAGGGAAGAGGTTTAGCTATCCAGCTGTACAAGCTGACTCTGGATTGGCGGCTACGTTCCTCACATTGCTAACACTTTATGTTCTCACTTTGCCTTCTCAGAAGTATAATGCAGTTACATCGTTTACTTTCCACATTCTCCTAACTGCCATCCCATGATGTGTCAGGTCTTCAGTAATCTCTAAGTATATAACAAATGGTACTAATCTTATTATTCAACGGTATTGGATTTAACTGAAACCACAGTCTCCATTATGTTTCCTAAGTAAAAGGTGTGCTTCATTCATAAGCATGGCATCATTATGAACCATTATGGGTTTGGGCTTTGCGCTTTGCTGATCTGCCTAAATCCTCTGATCTGTCAGGGCCCGTCACTGGCGGGGAAGGCAGCCCAGGAACTTTTCTGGAATGCAGGCTGATTTCTGGGCTACGTCAAGGAGGGCGCTCTCTGAGCTCAAAACACTCTGCAAGGGCCAGCAAACCAGTAAGTCAGGCTCATTCTCCTTAGTTCCCACGGGCCTGCGGGTGTCAACAGGGGGAGAACACAGGTAGAAACAGACAAAAGTGTTAAACTAAAGAGTCCCAAGACAATAGGCCTGAACTTATTTTCAGTTCCAAAGCAGTTGTGTCAGCGACAAGTATAGTCTAGAGACCACTCTCACATCCTTTTAAGTCAAAGTTTATAAATATTATTTAAATACTTAAAGATTTGTACTCTTCCAGGGGGGACTTCTTCATTAAAATGTAGTAGCCACACTCGCTTCTGTAAGGCAACCAACTTTACCTGGACTTGGTAAGCACGCAGAAGTCATGAGAGGTCAGTATATTTGAGTACAGTAACCATGACATGAAAGCATTAACTGACACAGGATACACTGTCTTGAAACTCATCCAAGTATATGTTGCAGATACAAAGAGGACTTTTCAGAATGGGTGAAATTGGTGGTTGTTGGCAGACTGATACCAAGCGATGCACTTGCTGCCGAGGGGGGAGAGCCACAAGGGCCCCTTACAATCTTGGGTGAGGCAGGAAACACACATCCACACTGACTACTAGCTTAGCCAATTTTTTTGGCATGAGTGTTGCGGGAAAACATTGGTTTATTGCTATGAAAAGGGAGGCCAAAACAGTGTTCCCTGACGGGAATCGAACCCCGGGCCGCGGCGGTGAGAGCGCCGATCCTAACCACTAGACCACCAGGGAGTTAAAAGTGGGATTTTGAGCACAATTTTTGGAATGAATTGTATCCACAGGTTACATATGGACATGTTACACATCCTAATGATGTTGATTTGTACATAGTTTGTTAATGGTTTAATCTGGAAGCACTAATAATGATCTGCACACCCACCCCTGTGTGTTTCTTGGTTTGTGAATAGAGTGTTGAAACATGTCTGCAGATAGATATATAAGATGACAATTGTTGACGATCTTGTATTAGTTACTATAGGCTAAAAGGTGAGTTCCTGACGCGGAATCGAACCCGGCCCGCGCGGCTGAGGAGTGCGCCGAATCTAACACTAGACCACCAGGGACCTGTAGGGCTCCTCCACCTTTAGAAGTTGGTTTTTGTATAGCATGTGTGACAACTGGCAGTAGGGGCCTTTTGGGTTGTAGTAACACGGACTGTCACTAGGTGGAGCTTTTCCTCCCACACTGATATAGTACTCTTTTGTGCTGACTAGAAATCTGTAGGCATTAATGTCCGTTACGGATTAGGGACTAAGCTAACGTCCTTCCTCGAAAACCAACAGTTAGTGTGTGTTATGTTTACTTTGACTCAGACAGGATACTCCTCCATTACAGGGAGAACAGTGTAGGTAAAATCTGTTGCAAAGCTCTGCAGAGAGCTGTTAGAGACACTAAGACATGTGGAGTGAGCCTTTAAAACACCAGGCTGCCAACAGGAGTAGTAGCTTCCCCTCGAGACCGAATGAAATAAAGACACTGACACCCCCATTCTCATGTGAGACAGCAATAATAAAGTCACTCTTCACCTCACTGATATAAATAAAAGTCAATCCCAGAACAAAGAATCTATATTTGATCTCTTTCGAAATATTCAGTTAAGTTGTCTACTTCAATGTAACACCTCAAGTCGCTGTTATTGGTGTGATCATATTTCTGATGCGAGTGGAAGACATGTTGCTCCTTTTCAAAGCGCCCTGAAAGGGAAGACAGGGCCCCACAGGAATGCAGGGGTGGAGTTTGTACTCCACACTTGTCTTTTGTTAAAGGCACATGGTGAGTCATCGGGCCAGTGGCGCAATGGATAACGCGTCTGACTTACGGATCGAAGCATTCATAGGTTCGGATCCTGGCTGGCTCGTGTCACATTTTTCCTCATTTGGAGAGAGTTGTGCTGCGACAGACTCGACCACTGTGAGCAAATTAGACTGCCTATGTAACATATTGCCCAGAATGTGCACCTTATATAGCAGTACTTAATCTGTTATTCTCAATATCAAACATCTTATATTTGCTATTAATGGTATGTTCATTAGAATTAGGGCTGAGCAGCATAGCTGAAAAATCCATCACAATAAAATGTTTAATTTTTGTCGATATCAATAATTATTGATTATTATTTTTAATGACCTATTTTTAATAACTGCCAGGTGGAAAAAGGAATTAAACCACTTGATGTATCAATGCACACAGTCTCAATAATGTATGCACCAGTGCCTCCTCAAGTGACAAGGACTAAAACTAAAGACATTTCCTTTATATTTTTATTTTATTTTACTTAGTACACAGTAACACTTCAGTTCTAGTCTAGTTTTTTTTTGTTTTTTCAGTTAACTGATATGGTTACCTACTTTTAGTTTTAGTTTCAGGTTTACTATGAAAACCTTGCTGCTCCATCGTGAACTGACTGTGGATTGTTTTATGAGATGTAGGCTGTGATTGAAGACATGTTGTATACTCCAAAGGGTGGAAGCAGTTATGGTGATTCACTTGTAGCACACTCCATTATCAAGGGATATGATAGGCTGTTTATGAACCAGAGCGTATTTGTTATGTGCCTTCATGGTGGTTTGCGTTTATTGCATCTAGGTGAAACTGTGACCCCCATACCATGACGGTTAGGCACAAATACACAGACCGTTACGACCACATCACTTTTTTTTCAAAGATAATTTGAAACACTATAATAACACTGTTTGTTATTTCCATGGTGGGCCACCTGTACCATGTTAATGCAGACCTTTTACAATTCTGTTTATCGTACTATATAGATGTGCTGTGCTGTTTTTGTAGGTATGCTGAGCTGCAGACATACACAGAATTGGACTTTCATCCCATAGAGGATGGACAGTGTGACATCATCATTGAAAAACCTACTGTTTTCATGAAATTGGATGCTGGTAAGTAAGAAAGATTTATGTGACTTTATGTGAATTCAAACAAGAAACTTTATTCTTAATACACGTTAATAAAACCCAGTAGACATGCACAATGTGTGCACAGTCAACTTGTTTGAGGCTAGACATTAGATGAAGATGTTCTTGCAGCTTGTTTCCAATATTGAATAGCAAGGACTTTGAAATCATGACAAAAATAATAATTGTGTGTTTTTCTGATAGGGGTGAACATGTACCACCATTTCTGTGACTTTGTCAACCTCTACATCTCCCAGCACATTAACAACTCCTTCAGCTCAAATATCAACATCGTCATGTGGGACACGGTGGGTGCCAAGATTTCAAAATGCTGATGCATAAAACTATTTTGACAGGCAGAGTGATATACTTTAGCTCCACAGTAACACAAAGACAGTCGTAAAAATATTTGAAGAGTGTTGTGTCCAATACAAATAAAAACTGAGAATGGATTTGGCTACTACAACCCAGCGAGACAGCCGAGCAGTAGTTCTTCCAAAGTTTTTGTTTAACAAGTCAGTGGCACATGAGCCTGATGAAGACATCAAGGGGAAACACCAGTTGAAAAACAGAATGCTTTTACAGACAACCTTTTCCGGCCCATTGTTCCCTCCGCTGCACACAGAGTTAAAGAGGAAAAGGGAAAGAGAAATGGGAGGGAGAGAAAACTGTCAGGGAGAAGGAAAGCAGTGACCTTTCAGCACAAACTGCACACTGCAATCCAAACAACAGGCTGTCAGATAATAGTGTGATAACAGATTTTGTATAAAACCAAAACTTCAGAAAAATACAACCAGCAGAGTTTTGAAACAGGTGACTACCTCTGGCAGTGCTAAAGGCTGTAGTTGAATTTAATGTTACAGCTTTGTTTTCTTTTCAGATGTAACATCAATTGAACTAACATTGCTTTCCTTTTTTATGTGTTTTTCCAGAGTTTTTATGGTTATGGAGATCTGTTCAGTGAAACATGGAGGGCCTTCTCAGAGTATGACATCATCCACCTGAAGACGTATGACTCAAAAAGAGTAGGTTTAATTTCACCTCCGGGTGTTCTTTGTAAAGGTGTTCAACTCATCAATTACTCAAATAGGGATGTCACAATACTAGAAATCTACTAGTTGATACCAATACCAGTGAATTCTACATTTCTCAGTACCTTGTGTGCTACATGTGTGAACTCAGACAATGTTGCTTGCTGATTCTCAGGAAGTTGTTTGGAGTTTATGTGCAAAAATGAAGCAGAGCTGTCACTGCAGCTGCCCTTCTCACCGTCTTCAACATGTTGTTGTTGTTCTTCGCTGTTCTTCTTCTTCCTATGGCATTTAACTGCAGACTAGAATACCTGTAGGCGTAAACAAGTACCATCAAGTTTTCCGAATTTTGGCATCTTTCATCTGCATCAAATACGTTTTCAAATTCAGTTGCCATCACAGCTTGATTCGCAGTTCTTCTGACATCCCTATACTCAAGTATGTTTGTGTAGCAACACCAACTAAATTGTCTTTAGTCCATGGAAGTTAATTAAAGCCTGTGTGTTGTTACAGACTCCATGTACTGCGTTGATTTATTACTGGAAAAATCCTCTAGCACACAAGAAATACTGTGATTGGTGTATCCAGAAGCAGCTTAATTAACAGATAGAAAGAAGAAATGTGCAGCTCCTACAGACACTCAAATTCCATCAGTGTTCACTGAGAATAACAATTTAAAAACACCTCAGCAAAGACCAGGTTTTATATTAATATTATATGTTTCCTAATTTTTCTTGTACATCTAAATCATTATAACATTTCTGAAATATGTCAAATAAGTATGCATGCTCCTACTTGTTCAACACATTGACATATACACAAACTAATTTCTGCTGTATGCTGACTTCACTTATTTATTCACACTCCTTAGGTATGTTTCAAAGATGCCTTCTTCTCCCTCCTCCCAAGAATGAGATACGGCCTCTTCTACAACACGCCTCTTGTAAGTTACCCCTCATTTATTTATGTGTGTACTTTACATATGCATTTCCTTTGAACAAATCGCAGGTTCTAATACTTTCAATGCTGCTGTTTGAGTCTTCATTTATATGTTTTTTATTTAATATTTAGTGATAGATTAAAAAACAAAAAAATGATTTCCTCCCCACAGGCACAATATCCAATTTAGTCATAAACATGCAGTTCAGATCAAATATTGATACAAAAGCTCAGCATGTGCCTATGTTATTTAAATGATAATTCCAAGGAGATTACTATAAAGATGATACCATGTAAATATGGTTTTTCGTGTGGTTCCAACCTTGAGGTGTGAAATATTGATAGGTCAGCCTCAAGCTGATGCTTTTGATTGCCCCTGCAGCACATGTCATGTTTATATTCATGTGTTCACATTTGCAGCTGCAGTGCAACAGTGTATGTGTGAGATTCTTAGACTTGAGAAATGTATAAACTCATATGATATTCATTCCAGCAAGATTAGGAAATATGTTTACAATTGTTCATCACAACCCAGTGCAATAGTGCAGTAGTGTGGCTGAATTCAATTTGCCTTCAATTAATTTCAAATCAGAAAGTACACTTCCTGAACATACAAATATTGTTGCATGACTCTATACAATGTATAACAAATATATAATATATAATCATTTTATTACAATAATTTGAATTGAATGGGTGAAAAATAAATAGCTTATGTTTGAAACTGACACTGTGGTGTGTTGATGGCAGATCTTAGACTGCTACAGTGAAGGGATGTTTAGGGCATTCTCCCAGCATGTCCTCCATCGACTGAACATCCTGCAAGATGGGCCAAAGGTAGGAAGAACGTCTTTTAGGAAACCCTAATTAACATCTGTAAACATCTTTTATATTATATATATACATATATAATTACAGACAGTTTCATGAACACTTACGGACAGTTTCATGAACACTTTTACAGTTCAATAGGAAAGTGAAGGTAGTAATAATCTTAGTTAACCCTACAATGTAGTTTTTCTGCCGATATTGTCAGAGAGACAATGATTCATCTTATTTGTAATTTCTCAGGTTGCAGTTTGTGTTGCTGTTAAGCCAGTATCATTACCAGGGATAACATTTCCTCTTTGCCAGTGCTCCAGTTGTTGTTTCCATGATATTTTCAAATCATGACTGTGGTATTTGTTGCAGAACTTATTATTACCTGGTGTCACCAGTAGCCCCAATCAGCAGTCCACATTCAGCAGATTCACCGTCTTGCCAGGCACATCAAAGTACTTTCCCTGACCGGGAAATCGAAACCCGGGCCGCGGCGGTGACGCAGCGAGCCGAATCCTAAACTAGACCACCAGGGAACTGATGTCTCACAAATGTTGTGTACTCTAGCCTCTTCATGTGAGACCTGCTGGTACTGTAAATAGGAGAATGTTTTCCTGGTGGTCTAGTGGTTACGATTTGGCTCTCCATGTTTGATTAATTGGCCTTTCTAGTCTTCCGACCACTAAAAAGTGCTTTATAATGATGGCAGAGGCTTCCATGCGGGGTGCCAACTGCTTATCAGAAACAGAAACTAATGCTAATTCACACACAGACTGATGGCACTGTCAGGAGCAATTTGGGGAAAAAATGTTTTTTTAATTATTATTTTAGACTCTAGTGTCAGTCAGACTGCTTATACTTTTTTGGTAGTGACAGCATACATTTTTGTGAATTAAATTTACTTTTAAATAAATAAATAGATAAATGAATATAGTCAGCATAATCATTGTTCTGTTTGTAAGTCACAAGTATTAAGAAGAAGTATTGCCTTGGAGATGATGCTTTTGTTCAATGATCTGAACATGAACTGGGAATGACAGTTAAACTTCTTCTTCTTCTGGTTGTCAGCCATTATTCTGCCAGGTAAGCCCCAACCTGCAACCAGACTACTGTTTGGTTAATTCCAAAATGCTCTGTAGAAAAAGGAGTCCAGATTTTAGGTAAACATGGCTCCCTTGGCCAGAAATCTGTTAGATGGCGAATAGTGGAATAGTTGTGTCCTCTGATTTCAGCCAGTTAAATGTTATATTCCTCTACTGGTTTTGATGGGCGATGGCAGGTTTCAGAAGCCTCTGTGAATCTTGCTATTATCCAAATATAAAGATATGATTTCCTTTTTTTTTTTTTTTATTGAACCATGATATAATTTAAATGCAAAAACCGAGCTTGCATTTTCACTTTCAAATTTCGGTTGTGCTTTGTCTGCCATTTGGAAAATTACAACAGGGAAGTCAATATCACATTCATTTTCATTATAATTATGGCATGGTTATATTTTGGAACGTACAATTATTTGTCATTTAAATTAGAATTTTGGAAAGCAATGATGCATTATCAAACATTTTTTAATTAAACATTGTACATCATTCTTTCACAAATGATAAATTGAATTCAAATTTGACTTAATGATAGACAGTTCTAGACATCATGTGTTCATAGACCTTCATATGAACCTTTTTGACTCAGTAAAAGAACATCTTATCCTATCTTAAACCTGTAGATGCAAATTGTATTTCAACTGTACAAATAACTATATATTATTCGAAAGAAACCTCATAAAAAGCTTCTTGCAGTTCCCTGGTGGTCTAGTGGCTAGGATT